TGACTTAAACATCGATATAGTCTGAATAAATATCCGTTGTCAACTCGTCAAGAATCCTAACGAAGGAATTTCTATTATTGTAGCATGAGTCAAGAAACCGCTCACGATCAAAGTAACCAAGCGCCAAGCGATGGGCACGAAAATGTTCATATTGAAGTATCTAGTTTCACACCTCCTATTCAAAGTGAACAAGTGAACTCACTACATGTTCCCCAAAATGATCAAAATATTGGAGATCAACCTGACGCTATGCTACCTACCTTAATGGTAAACTTCTTACAACAAATGACTAATGCCCCTGTGTTTCAACCACCTCCACCACAACCTCGTTTGACCACTTTCAAAACCTTGAAAGATAATGGTGCTGAGGAGTTTCTGGGAGATCGAATTGCCAAACCCCAAATTGCTCTTGAATGGATCGAGCAGACCGCTCGTGTACTACAAAATTTGAACATACCTCTCGTTGATCATCCAAAATTTGCATCTCAATTGCTCCGCAAAGAAGCCTACGAATGGTGGAAACGTACTGACGAAAATCCAAACACACCCAAACCTTGGACTTGGGAATTCTTCGATTGGGCGTTCAAGAAGGAATATATACCAGCTCGATTCCGTGAAGAGAAACGTGCTGAATTTATCGAATTAAAGCAAGGAGATATGACAGTCCTTGAATACCGACAAAGATTTGTCCATCTCGCTCAATTTGCACCCACGCTGGTGAGTACAGTGGCGGACCGCATTGAGGAGTTTCGCAAAAGACTTCGACCTGATCTTAGGCCGCACGTATCTACTATTCAAACTATGGATTTCATTGAGGCATACGATCTAATCTCCAAAGCCGAAAAAGATCTAAGTGATTACTATGAAAGTCTGAAGAATAAGAATGTCAATCCAAATGAACGACCAAATTCAAGTTGGAAGAGACCCCTGCAAGAAATTGATTGTGCCATTCACTCGAAAAAGGGAAAATCAATGACAATTCAATCTACGTCATCCATGAACAAAATGAGGGTATGGAAACATCCAAAGTGTAATGTTTGTAAAAGACACCATCCCGGAGATTGCTGGCTTGCACAAGGATTATGTCTAATTTGTGGTGAACCTGGACATTTTCGACGAAAATGTCCCTCTAACCCTGAATCATATTCAGTTACTTCTGTCCAAAATCAACCTGTTCACTCAGGAACAAGTCAACGCTCTAAAACACGAAGCAAT